CGAGCGGTGTTCCTGACCAACCGCGAACACCAGCACAGCTAACAATGCACATGCGTTTGCAAGCAAGAAGAAGTATGCTTTGGAGAGAGAGCCGGCGTTTCTGCCTAATGCGACGGGAACACCAACACGGCCACGCTAAAGGGTTTGCGGCGCAGTCGTCCTTCACCAGCGAGGACAGCATGGGGTACGGTCGCTGCCCTATTTCAACATGGACCTCCGCAAAGTTGAATAGAGAGCAAGCTTCTAAAGAATCTAAACTGTGCTTGTGAGGTCTGAATACTTGTGAGCAATGACCTGGGCAGGCGTTGCTGAAACGCTTTTTGACAGAAACGCGCTGGAGGACTTTGTTTGGCGGCGTGATGCCATGACTTGGAATGCTTCCGCTCTGAGAGTGGACTCTAATTCGCGCACGACAAAGTCGCCCAAAGTCTGAAGAGTATTTTCTGCCTGGCACACAAGACAGTCAGCCAGCACCGAACACACAGAATCCCAGGTAGCTGCTCCACAACGGACCAGTTTCATGTCATGTTCCTAGATAACAAAGCAAACATCAAGGTCGGCGCACATGCGCTGTGACACGAACGATAATCCAGCAGGAACCAGCTGGCGATCCCGAGCGTCTTCTACGGCTTCTAGCTCAGCCTTTCAAAAAACTCACCGTACACACATAGAACAAGTGCGCACTTGCTGTCACTGGCTCAGAGAGGAGCAACGTACCGGGAAGCTTTTCGGAACACTCAGCTCTTGCCCCACGACTTTTACACGCACCGTCCGCTTGCTGCCCTTGACACCGACGCCGCCAGTGTCGAGGAGGCCCGCCACCGGCGGGAGCGACATGAAAGACATCGGCCAAGGTCTGGAAGTGTCACGACACCGTGCAAGCATTGAATCTGGAGTCTGGACTGCAGCCAGCGTCTTACCTATCCAGCGAGGATATAGCTGCCGGATCATCCAAAGCGGATAGAACTCGTGCGACAACTCCACCAACCTCTGCAATCAGAATTGGCGGTCACTCCACTGGCCCATCAGTCGCATGAACAGCAGCTTCCTTCGTGGCCATAGTGCCTGCACGCCATGACCAGCAAGACGCTGTCTGACGAAATGTGACTGATGTGACAACTCACTTACGTAACTCTGCTTTCACGATAACTCGAACACGCTTCAATGCATCCTGCTGTCAACAGTGAACGCATGGACAGGACACTGGCGTGACATGGAATCCTTGCAGACGTTATAATAGGTCCTGTTCACGGCGCTCATCTTGCACCTGCCATGGCCCGGATTGACACAGCTCTACCAAAACCCCAGTCCGAAACAATGCAACTGTCTCAGACTGAACGCCAGCTTGCACACAGTTGACATGCACACTACTGCAAAGGCTGCAAAGCACACGTGGTCTCTTCGGTCTCTTCATTTCTCTCAGTCGCGTCTCTAGTCTCGACATGCACAAACTACCCACCTAGACGCCGTGACACTTCCAAGACGCAGACAGTTTTTTTGACCTAGCAAGGAACAACAAACTCATGCAGTCGCAGTCACGTGAAATGACTGCGCAACGACACGTCATAGCACGCAGCTGCCGACGCAAAACCACAAGCACTCACAGGCTTACTCCGCAGGCGATAAAGCAACGTCAACAAATTGAAGTAGGCCGCACCGTGCGCGACCGTGCAGTGGGTGCACACAGAGTGTAGATGTCATGCACGCGCTGGTGTCACCTTCTCCCCATCAAGCGTTTGTATCGCCCCTTTGTGCTCTCATGACCTGCATGATCCTGGATCTGAACCTGAACCTTTGACACAGAGAATAACCCCTATCTGTGGACAACGCCGCGAGGTCCCTCCCCGAGCCCTGAACCCTACTTCACACAAACCACCATGACAAAATTGCATCTTCTTGCACTCGCCTCATGCGTACTGATCAATGACGTGACCTGGCCATCTCCATTGATGATTTCATCACATACACTCTAATCTGCAAAGGCCAGCAAGGCACACCTGAGCATCTAGCTTCGAAGGCGGATCCAGCTCCAGTTTCAAGCCTGGCAAGCGCTGCTCGTCCCCAGGCGGAACTGCTGGCCTCGCGCAAAGAGTTTGGGCCAACGGTCAATACGAACCTGGCGACTCAGGACGCCTAGAACAAAGCTCACCAGGCTGAGGATGCACTGTCAACGACACGCAGTAAAGACAGCACGAGCAAGCTCCACATCTGGAGATATTATTGCAACTGTCTCGGACTGAACGCCAGCAGCACTCAGACGACTAATACACTGCAGCAAACGCACGCGGTCTCTTCATTTTCCTCTCAGTCGCAAGACTGGTTAAGTTGGGGCAGCGCGGACGGAAAATGATCTATCGGACCGCCCATGCTCGGCACGGGTTGTCCATTTCAGAATGAGGGAAGGTACACACCACCCCCCCCACCACTTCAAGGGCGGGCGGGCGGGGCAAAACAAGAAGACGCCAAGTGTTCAGCCACACAGGCAACCGCTAGAGCACTCTCTAACACCTGCTGGCCTGGACATGCATCAACACGCATCATCATGCATGATGGACACGTGCAGCACGGCAATCACATCAGTGCGACACAACACAGCACGCAGCTGCCGACGCAAAACCACAAGCACGCACAGGCTTAGTAGGTTTTGCTTTCAGTCAGGACAGCGGGCAATAAAGCGACGTCAACAAGTGGAAGTAGGCTGACAGTGCGGTTAGACTCCAGACACAGGACCAGACACACAGTTGGACTCTCACGCAGCAACCCAGACCGCAAGCCGCAGGCATTCCTTTTGGCACACACACACACACACACACACATGGGCAACGGGCGGCGAGGGCGGGTTCGAAATTTTGGGATTGCGAGCAACGCGGCTGCGGGCGGCGTCGCTCGAACATGTCATTCCGCGCAAGCTATGAACCCTAACCAGCCGACTGACAGCATGCACATGCCGGAACATGGTGTTTGGCTGCCAACACATGCACTCACGTTTGGCAGAGCACTTTGATGCACTTTGTAAAGGGCCCTTCGGGATGCGAAAACAAGGACGGGGAGGCTGGGACTCTTTGAACGGAGCACGAAGCAAAGAGAAACTCTGGGGCACAGGCAAGTGACCAACCGGATGTCGCAAGAGGCGGGGCTCATCGGCTTTGCTTCCTGGCATGGACACACGCACCACCTTGCCAGGCCTGGTTTCTTCCGCAGGGGAAGGCCGCGTCTGGGCCAAACCCTGTTGGGGATCCTATCGAACCCTGACCCTGAACCCAGAACACAACAGGCACACCAGTCCCGGAGAAGCAACCCCCTGACGAGAAACCAAGCACGACCACAGCAAGCGACGCTCTCTCCTTTTGAAGGTGGTGGTAAGTACAGCCAGAATCTACACTGACCACATGGCTAAAACAGCTGCTTAGCCAACATGGGACATCAGCTTAAGAGCTGACAAACGACGCATCAGCCGCACGCTGACAGAAATGTATCCCCCATCAGCCTGACGCTGACAAACGGTGACCCCTGCCCAGATTTTTGATCGGGCAAGGGCGGGCGGGAGATCGAAAATCAGGGCGGCTCCCGTGCTGCTCCCGGTCTACACACCGGTACAACCACAATCACTGTGCTTCAGACACACAGCTGCAAGTATGAACATGCCGCACTATCCAGGCACTCCGCACTCCCCAGAGACTCCCTGGCCTAGCCTGCCTCGCAACACACGACAACATCTGCATGCCACCACTCCCGGACACTGCAAAGACATACAAGGACACACCCTAGACAAACCACCCTAGCAAAGATTCTATCGGATCCCTCTTTTCGCCCCTCCGGTTCCCTCCGGTTCGACCCGCCGGCAACAGGCCGGACGTCTGGCTCCACATCCGGCTGCACGCACAAGAGGAAGGCACAGCAAGCAACAAACAAACGCTGAAACAGCTACTAGTGCGATGGGCGCACCGCAGCACACCTGGAACACACAACCAGTGGCCTGAACACAATCACTGACACATGCGAATATGTAGCGTTGACTGCAGGTCGTCGTTTAGGGTTCGTGGTGTGCGCTGGCCATCAGCCCGACCTACCCCAGCGCAAACCTACCCACTCCACGAAGAGGTATGGCTTGGACCTGGAAAGGGTTGGTTTAACCTCTTCAATGGACCGCACACATCCACCACCCCAGTCCTGCTGCAGCTGCAGCTGACCATAGGGGGGGAGTCACTCGGCCGCATGGGGCCACAGAAGGCCCTCATCGGGCGACAAAGTAGGGGCGGGCGGGCAGGCTTTCAAACGCGGTGAGCCCACCGATGTTGCACTTGCACAGGCTGCTCGATGCAGCTGAGCTGCAGAGGATGCATTCTGCGGTGTGTGAAGTGTTTTGCATGCACGGTGCGTGCGCAGGCAGTCCGCCACGTCCATGACAGAACACAGCGCGAGCCAGCTATAGTCCAAGTGAAGGAGCTATCATGTCACCAGTTGCGGAGCGGTTTTTATTGCAACTGTCTCAGGCCGAACTTCAGCCGCAATCTGCTGCAAACGCACGCGGTGCGACACGGCACGCAGCTGCCAACGCAAAACCACAAGCACGCACAGGCTTGGTAGGTTCTACTTTCAGTCTGGACAGCAGGCAATAAACCGACGTCAACAGGTTGAAGTAGGCATACCGCTGCATTCCGCTGCAGCAGCGCAGGCAAAGTGGAACGAGCAGCAAGCAGTTGCAGTCAAAGCGAATATTATTGGTGCACACGGGTCGGGAGTGTTCGCGCGTGCGTTAAAGGGGTTCAGGTAGTGGGGCAGCCTAGCGCAAGCAAACCCAGCGTCACTAACTAGCAGTAACTAGCATGCACATGGGAGCGCGACGAACAACTGCCGGACCAAATCATCAACAAGTTGACGCATGCATCATCAGTATCTTGAAGTCACCATCCGAGTCAGAGGACATGAAGCTACAGCTACCCTCGTCGACTTGGCGACACAGAACGAACGAAAGCAACACTCAAGGCTGCTGCATCCCTTTACATTGACGGAATGGCTCCATTCCGCAGAAACCAAAGGGACAACTGCGCACGAGGTGTTGGACTGGACTTTGTATCTGGGGAGGATGCGTGTGACAGCAGCACGTCTTCCCTGCATGGGTACACCACATCGCACACAGCTTCCAGTCTTACCTTGGCTTGCTTGCTGAGAGCTTGAGCATTGTCTAGCAGCCGGCTGCAATTCCCAGAATACGCCAGCGGCGCCACACATGTTAAGCCACCTTAATGCAACCCAAATGACAGCACACTTTGCGGATCTCTGCAAGGAAGTTTACTCGTGTTACTAGTGGAGAGCGCACCGTCGAGGGAGTACCAGCCCCGAGGACATGGTGTCTCATATGACCGTTCACAATCGTGCACGGACCGGCAGGGAAAGCGAACCCCGCATGTGTCTTCAAATGCCCTCTTCTCGTCTGGCGACAGCCCCGCGAAGGTTTGACGCTTGTTGCAGAGTACATACTCTGCCGGAGCCCAGCCTCACCGAAATCACCGCTTGCCAAACGCTGACACTGCACATGCGTTTGCACACAATCCGAGACGATGCTGCACACTCAGCACGACCGTTGATCGAGGCTTCCCACCACCTGTACAATATGGAAGGCAGCCAACGCTGACGATTGGGATTGTTTTGCTCAGCTCACCCAACAGGACACATGGCCGTGTAGTCGCGTTGACACGGCTGACCGAGGGCACGCCAGCTGACTCCACACCTGCCAGGCAGCATTCCCTTCTGAGGCAGCACGCGCGACCCGTAGACTTAAGCTCTGCAGCATCGTACTCAGACTCAAATGCCGCCTTGTCTTCAGCTGTCCAGCCTGCCGCATCCATTGCAAGCAAATTCACCACAGCCTGTAGCCTTCTTTTTTAAGCGCAACGGGCTGCACTGCAACTCCAGCCTGCAACGATGGCCTGGCATTCCACATCAGCACACACGCCCAACAGCCACGCACACTTTGGACGTGGCCTTCTTTGGGCACGGCCCTTTGTAGGAGGGTGGGGCATTGCACACCTGTCCATAACCTGCAAACTCGCGCTTTTCTTGACTGCAACACATTGGGGACACGCCGGCTCTGCAGCTGATCGCCCTTGCCTAGAATCCAGCTTTCCGGGCAAACTTCATCGTAGGCCTTTGCTTCGAAGGGTGAAAGACATGGCCACCTCAGTTTACGGGGGAGCAGGCCAGGACGCCATCCACGGAAGGGCAAATCAACCAAATTATTTTCGGTAAGAGACCAGCCTTACCCCGCAGCGGTACGAGAAGGTGGCTTTGTCTTCGACAGACATGGAGGTTACCTTGGCTTCAAAACCCATGAGCGCTGGCTTGGTCCATTTGACATACACAGCACAAAATGTTGACTCTTATGGCTAAGAGAAGCTAAGCGAAGTCTGCTCTCTGAGCAGCATGCATTCAACTTGGGCAGGCAATCTCCAGCATACGTAGCTGGCGCCTTACGGCTCGCGAAGCAAGCCCGTGACTGTATGGCATAGCATCGCCCTCTCACCCATCCTAACAAGCCAAGACTGCCAAGCCTTGCAGATTGCGTGACGCGGCTCTGACCAACCTGTACGGGAGCCGGAGGTGTTGACATGTTGCCATGGACGCCTCCGACCAAGCTTCTCGCTTCATTGCGCATGTAATGGATTCGGCTTCCACGCGTGAAACCAATCGTGTCTGTCGAAGTTTGAACACGTCTAAATGCTGCAGCTGCCCGCAGATTATCGAAGATTTCCCTTGATTTTTCGCAGAGAACACGTCGAAGACGAGAGCACAAGCACACCAATGATTGATATGCGCACACCCGCACACAGACACCCAAAACAGAGATCACCAGTCAAGCGAACGGTTCATCAGCACCTATCAGCACGAAGACGCAAATGCCTGAAGGACAATTTGCTTTCCAATCGACCTGGCGACAGAACTGGCAAGCTTGGCCGGCACAGCCCAAAATCGCTTTAGCTTCCCGGCGACATGACAGCTGGCCTCGCAGTCTCCCTGGCAAGGGAAAGTCCATGCGCAAGACCGGGCAATCGCCTTCTTCTGCTCCAAGCTCAACGATGCGAAATTATATTTATCTGCACATCCTGCTCGTAGCTGCGTCGCAGTCGTGGCAACGCAGTAGCTTCCTTGTCTACGGAACGTGTTCGGGCAGCCGGAATAATCACGACTGCACGCCAGCGGCCCATGTGGAAGCGGCATCTCTGGAGTTGCCAGGTGTGAAGAGCTCTTCATAGCAGAGCGAAGCTCTTCTTCAATAGCTGCGCCAAACGGCAAGTGTTGCATTGACAGCATAATTTGTAAGACCAAGCGAAATACATGGCGCAGAGGACCCGCCTTGCTCCTCATCGCTCCTCTCACGATCGGCTGCATCGAAAGCTAGTTGAGCTTTCATAAATTTCTGTTTGAGGTGCGCCTTGCACGAAAAAGGCAGCTGGTGGCGGTTGTCCGGAAGCCTAAAACCGTTAAACTTGCAGCATCAGCTGCCTTGCCATCTAAACCGTCAGCTGGCTCAGCAACTTTGAGCGCCACAGGGCTCACTGAACCGGCTGAGTCGTCAATTTTGGTAATGGCCTGCGTGGACAACACTTGGGCCCAGGGCCCGGTATCAAACATGATGCACACAGCAGCAATATCAGTACATGGAGGACCAACAATCCGACCGTGCTGTCTACACATAACTACATACTATACTTGACACCAGACGGACATGCTGTGTGCGTCAAATAGACAAGCCCCTCGAATAGTTCTCCAGCAGCTTGCTCTCGCAGAGGGTATAGCGTAGGTCGGGTGTGGGCCTCCATGATCTGACTAGCTCGGTCGTCGATCATCGGCATTGCAGCTTGCTCTGAGCTCAGGTCGGTGAGGGAAGCGAACTGAAAGCTGCCCGCCGCGGAGCGGCAATGCAACAGCATCACAACTGCAACCGGCAACAACTGTCGGTACATCGACATGAAGAAACGCGCAGCTCAGGTGGAGCCTGCCAGAAAATCTTCGCAACTTACGAGAGCAGTGTTGTGACCTTTGGAGCCCTCTGACGAAAGGCGGGAAAGCACCTTGTTTAGCAGATGCTGATGCAACACGCGAAGTAGCAGTAGCAGTCCCAAGTTACTGGGCGGACGCGCCTGAAACCCTTTAGCAGTATCTCGCCTGCCACACATGTTGCAAAAGCCGCAACAAGGTAACTTTGCGGCCTCACGCTTCATCGTGATCGTCTAGTCCAGTAGCCATACCCGTTCATGTCTCGAGTGTTTCCACACACAAACTACCCACCCTCCAGCCCATGAGCGCCGTGACACTTCAAAGGTGCAACAACTGCGCACAAGACGCTGACAGTCTTTCCTGGACTGACAAAGAAACTACAAACTTCCCGGACCCGATTGGGGCGGCGGTGGGCTCAAGAGAAAGTCAGGGAAAGTTTACAGCTAAGTGACCTACCCGAACCGAGCTCAATTCTGGGCTCTAGGCAGAGCTAGAGCCAAGAGCTGCAACCATACGAACGCTTCGCACACTTATGGTACACTCCGATACGAGACGCTCATGCTGCTGCGCTTCGCTCCGCACATTCCAGCGAATCATCAAGAAGAGCAACTTTGGCAGCAAATTGATGAATGAAGTGCTTTCCATCCGTGCATGGGCAGTCAGAAGATCCGCCCCTTCGTGTCCACTCCGGGGCGGGAGGGCGGGAAGAAATAAATGCACTGGGATTCTTACGCAGACAAGAAGCAAGCGGACTGCAACCTCCACAGCGCAATCAGGCCTTGTCACGTTGATAAGGGGAAGAGACGACCCAGGCCCAATGACGGACAGTCCAGCGAAGCTATGTAAGGCAACAGATACGGTCCTACATTCCTTACATGAGCAGGCCCTGTTACAAGGTCGCAACGAAAAACTCGTCTCTAGTCTCGACATGTACAAACTACCCACCCTCCAGCCCATAGACGCCGTGACACTTCTATGACTCTATGACGCAAGTGCGCACACGCTCCTTTGTTCGTGGGATGCGCAAACGCCGACAGTCTTTCCTGGCCTAGCAAGGAACTACAAACTTCCTGGAGGCGATTGGGGCGGCGGTGAGATCAAGAGAAATCCTACGGCTAACCTACCTGGATCTAGCTCTAGGCTCTGGGCAGAGCCGGAGCCACAAGCTGCAACTATACAAATGCTTCGCACACTTATGGTACATTATGACACGAGGTGCTGCGCGTCGCTCCGCACTGTCCAGCAAACCCCCTCTCACATCCAAGGCTTTCTGTGGGTGCGGAGGGAGGAAAACAGAAAACTTGGAGGAAAAAAGATTTCTTCTGCTCACAGCACTCGAGCCGCTGGTTACGGCTACACATGCAGCAAATATGTTCAATACGCAAAACGTGATGAAAGCTTCCACACTGCCACAAGGATCCACAAGGCACTGAAGGGGATTCTTACGCAGACAAGAAGCAAGCGGACTGCAACCTTCATTTTGCCCCACAGCGCAATGAGGTCTTGTCACGTTGGTAAAGGGAAGAGACGACCCAGGGCCAACGACGGACAGTCCAGCCCGAGCGAAGCTATGCAAGGCAACATACGGCCCTACATTAGCAGGCCCTGTTACAAGGTCGCAACGAAAACCTCAACCCCCCTCTCACAACCCAGGTTTTCTGTGGGCGCGGAGGCAGGGAAACAGAAAACTTGGAGCACATCTGATGTGAAACAGGATCTCTTCTGCTCACAGCATTCGAGCAGCTGATTATTCACTTGAGCCTCATGGCCTGATCTACTCTGACTCAACCCAAGACACTCATCCGTGCACTCTGCAATGACTCACGCAAGTTCACGTCACACAGTCAAGACTTCATAAACTGCCCTAGCAGCCCTAGAACACATGCACTCGCGCTGGCTCCCCTGGTCTGCGCACTTCGTGTTTTCTCGCATCGGTGACGATGGGGTATGTCTGTTCGTCCTCGGTCAGGGTGTTGCAGCCCTGAGAGGGCTGGTCGGATACTTTTCGCAGGATGATCCACTGCTGGAGAAGGCGGGCACATGCCCCTCGTCCGTCCCTTTAAATTGTCTCCGCCCCTTACAAACACACACGGGCACACGACAGAATGCAGCTGGCTGCACACGCAGCATAGCTGCCAGCAGACCACACTCTTCCATCCCGAGTTGGCCACGTCGTCACTTGGTTACTTGGGGCCGAGACCGGCTTTCTCAGGGCGTTTTCTTGTGAAGAACCGCGGTCGGTTCGGCGCATCACACACACACACACAACTTGCAGCCGCTGCAAGGTGTGGACAGTGACTCGTGCACAGCAACACACGACGCCTTTGCTTGTGAGTGTTCGCCAATAGAAGGATCCAGCACGAACTTCACCCACTCACCCACTCTGGCAAGGGCAGCTCACGACTCAAGAGCAACATTGACGTCAGGTTTGCGATGACAAATCGCAGCGACGCTGATGGCAGCAAGCAGCAAGCATCTATTTCTGCCTTAGGACCGGCACTTCCTACGAGGCTATCCTGCGGTTATGGGAGCATGGCCCACTCGAGAACGCAGCACCAACTCAGAAATGGATGTCCCCATCCTCGGCACCCACACACAGCGACAGGTACAGGGCAGGAGACCATGGTCTCAGCATCAAGACAGATTGTCCTCGTCCAGCGGTCCCGACACATCAAAGTCCCTCCGCTGCGCCAGCGGGTGCTGAACCTCGGCACCGCGGCCTCACCAGGCGCACAAGCTTTTGATCGAGAACCGCGTTCTTAGAGGTGGACACAGGAGACGACATCGAGACAAAAATTCCCTAGTCTCTACTATACCCTACTTGCCAAGAGACACAGCATGCAGTCAACGGGTTCTCCGACTCTTTTCTAAAACGGACGCACGTGAAAAAATGAGGGTCTAGCGGGTCTAGCTAGCGTGGAACATCGAACTTCGATCCTTGAGGTCTGAGGGTAAACATGTCAGTTGGGCTCGTAACAACACATGCACAAGCCGTTATAGCAGCATATCATACGCTGCATCACTGTACCAGACACACACACACACACACACACACACAACAGCATACACTTCTTGCAAGACATCCAAATCACATCTCCCCCACCCCGTGAAGTCGTGCTGTCAGCCCAGAGCTTGCGCAGCAGATTTCCGGTCGTACGAGCGGACACTGGCGAACACCTTCACTTGTCACTTGCTATATAGTCTTTCCACGTACCAACCACCCACCCTCCGGCCCACCAACGGCGTGACACTTCAAAGGCGCAACAACGGAGCACACGAACTTTTGTTCGCGGTTCTGATCGAGATTCCGGCATGGAACCCCAAAACTCCCGGAATCGACTGGGGAGGGGGCGGTGGGCAATTCTTTCTGCTTGGGAACCTACTCGCGCACCCTGCACTGCAGACCCGGAGTTTTCGCACACCAACGCAACACATACCGGCAGGACAGCTTTAGCGCTCCACACACTGACATAAACATGGAGTCTCCGAACCCTTCCTTTCCCACACGTGCAACAGGAAAGAAAGGCAGCGGCAGCAGGTCTTTTTGCTGGATTTGTTCCGAATGGTGCATCAGCACACCCCCAGCACCCATAGCGCGGGTGGCTCGGCAAGCAACTTCACGAAATCTTCCCTGTACTTCAACAAACCAAACCCCAGCCCACCGAAGCACTCTTTGACATGTTTTGCTGAATGGTGGTCGGTACGCCAAAGCACAAAGTCTAGACAACTATCTAACTACTTGTAAAGCACGACAACGAGCGAGGCGCACGCGTCCCCCTGGAACCTGACACACTCGCCAGGTCTAGTCGCACATGTGCCCCCCACGGCCTCATTTTGACGTCTTCCCATTGAGCGCCCTCGAAAGAACCGCCCAACGTCTGTGTCCTTGCATGCGAGTCGGGTGACACGACTTCGAAGAGCGATGATCACCATGGGGAGTGTAAACACTGTGCAGCACAAGCCCATGCTCTGGATCATCGCGAAAATATTTTACTGCAACTGTCTCAGACTGAACGCCAGCTGCACTCAGAAGACTAATACCAGAAAACTAATACACTGCAGCAAACGCACGCGGTCTCTTCATTTTCCTCTCAGTCGCAAGACTGGTTAAGTTGGGGCAGCGCGGACGGAAAATGATCTATCGGACCGCCCATGCTCGGCACGGGTTGTCCATTTCAGAATGAGGGAAGGTACACACCACCCCCCCCACCACTTCAAGGGCGGGCGGGCGGGGCAAAACAAGAAGACACCAAGTGTTCAGCCACACAGGCAACCGCTAGAGCATTCTCTAACACCTGCTGGCCTGGACACTCATCAACACGCATCATCATGCATCATGGACACGTGCTGCACGGCAATCACAACAGTGCGACACAACACGGCACGCAGCTGCCGACGCAAAACCACAAGCACGCACAGGCTTAGTAGGTTTTGCTTTCAGTCAGGACAGCGGGCAATAAAGCGACGTCAACAAGTTGAAATGTTGAAGTAGGCAATAGTAGGCAACAGTAGATGCAACCGCATATGTGCAGTATGATCACACGTTGCATGGAAAGGATGTCAGGAAGCCAAAGTCCGACTGACAGAGCCCCTCTCTTGTGAAACGCAACTGGGATGCATGGCTCAGTGCAGAAACCATGAAAAACATCCCACGGCCTCATTTTCGAGGGATGTGGAGGGCGGGAAAATCGAAAATGGGCCGAAGTCACACTAAGCCGTGCCCGACAAGTTAATGTCAATGTGACGTTTGCATTGAACACAACAAAAAACCATGTCTAGCCAGAAAACACACTAGCTCTGCGAGCCCAGTTGTTGCTGGCATGCAAGCGCATCGATTCAAAACACTTTTCAACAAAGTGCAGTACGCCCAGATCTCACTTGCACCCCGCGTAAGTTTGTTTGCAGCAACTGGATTCGGATGTTACTGCGCTACAGCTTCTCCGTCGGAGCTTCAGCGAGCTGCAGC